AAATGTGACAAAACCTAAAAAATATATTTAGGATTAAAATTTCAAAGGAACGTGTGACTATTAATGTTAAAACAGAAATATTAATAAAATATTTGAGCATGAAGTGCCCTGAGCTCCTTTTAGAATATGCTTTCTATCTAAAAGCATCTGGATCCCAAAGACCTTGGTTTCCCTGAAATTATTTCCAACTAATAAAAATAAATGAAAAATAAAAAAAATTTTAAAAAGAAATTATTTAAATCCTAGTAACTTTATTTTTATATTCTTAGCGATCTTTGTTGTCAGAGACATCTAAACTTCATTGAGTTCATATCCATTTATCATAATATCTGTTTTATTTTAAATTTTCTCTTCTATGAATTCTATAATTACCTCACTAGAATATCATACACACACATATACATTCATATGTATCATATACATAAACATATATACATTCAATAGTTCTGTTTCCCAAATTGCTGATATTTTTATCATATTGGACAATTTCTTTATTCATTATTTTTATTCACTTATGAATAAAATAGGCATAGGTTGTTTCTGTTATCTTGGCCGTTGTGAATAATGCTGTAGATATCATAAAGACACAGGCATCTCTTTGAGATTGCCATTTGAATTCCTTGGACTATGTACCCTGAAGTAGGATTTCTGGATCATGTTGTAGTTCTATTTTTACTCTTTTCAAGGAGCTCCATACTCTTTTACATAGCTGCTACACCATTTTACTTTCCCACCAAGAGTGTCCAAGGATTTCAATTTCTCCAAAACTGTGCCAACACTTTTCATTTTCTGTTTTGCCAACAATAGCCAGTCTAATAGGTTTGAGGTTATCTCTCACTAAAGTGTTAATTTGTGTTTCCCTGATATTAATGATGTTGAGCATATTTTCATATACCTGTTGCCTATTTTTATGTCTTTTTTTGGAGAAATGTCTGCTCAAACCATTTGTGCATTTTTTCTAATCATTATTGTTTCTGTTTTTGTTTTGCTTGAGTTGTAGGAGTTATTTATATATTTTGGAAGCTTGCAAATATTTCCATGCATCCTCTGCATTGCCTTTTAATTCTGTCGATTATCTGCTTCGCTGTGCAGAACTCTTTTAGTCTGCTGTAGTTCCATATTTTGAAGTACACAATACCACACTGTTAACTGTAGGCACCATGTCATGCAGCAGGTCTCTAGAATTATTAAATCAGCCGATATAATTCAGTAGCTTGCCGAGTGGCTCAGTGGTAAAGAATCCACCAGAAAATGCAGGACACATGGGTTCAATCCCTGCCTCAGGAAGATCCTCTGAAGTGGGAAATGACAACCCACTCCAGCTGGGGTAATCCTATGGACAGGGGAGCATCACAGGATACAATTCATCTGGTCCCAAAGAATCGTACGTAATTGAGCACACACAAGAGAAAGTATGATCGAAATTTTACACCCATTGAACAACAGAGGGAAAAGGACTCTTGACATCGGTCTTGGCAAAATTTCTTGATTATGACACGAAACATAGACAATAAAAGCAAAAATAAATGATGACTTCCAAGTTTCATCTGTGATCAGTAAAGCTGCTATAAAAGTCCATGTGTAGGTCTTTATGTGGAAAGAAATTTTCAACTCCATTTGGTAAAAAAAAAAAAAGAGCAAAGAGTGTAATTACTGAATGTACGGTGTCTTCTAGGGGCTTCCGAGGTGGCTCAGTGGTAAAGAGTTTGTCTGCAATGCAGGAGCAGCAGGCAGCATGTGTTCAATATCTGGGTTGGGAAGATCCTCTGGAGGAGGAAATGGCAACCCTCTCCAGTATTCATGCCTAGGAATCCCATGGAAAGAAGAGCTTGGCAGTATACAGTCCATGGGGTTGCAAAGAGTTAGACATGACTAAGTAAGCACCTACTTCATGGTATCCTCTAACCCAGGGGTCCCCAAACTCTGGCTAGAGGACCAGTACCTCCTGTCAGATAAGCAGCAGCATTAGAAATCAGGTGCTCAATAAATGTAAAATACTTGAATCATCCCCAAACCAACCTCCACCACCAGTCCATGGAAAAATTGTTTTCCATGAAATGGGTGTCTGGTGCTGAGAATTTGATTATAAGTATTTCACCTTGAGCACTGGCTATAAGAGCAATAATTTATTTCTTTACAAAATAAAATTGGGAGATTAAAAGGCATTTGAAAACTTTGCTCCAAGAATAACTGCTTATCATGTTTTTGTTTGTTTGTTTGGATTTTTGTTTCAATTTTGCTTTTAATTTCCCCAAACATTATGCAAAGCACCACAGAAAGGAAAGAACTAAACAGGGTACCTTGTATTTGTCAAATCACTGACAATGATCTATTGCTGTATTGCAAATCATCCAATTGAGGAGCTTATACAACCAATATTTATTACCTCATGATTTCTGGAGGTCAGGAATCTAGGTTTGACTCAGCTGGGTGCTTCAAGTTCAGGTTTATTAGATCCCAGTATGTTTGGCAGCAGAGGTGGTGATCTTATTCAGAAGCTTTCCTGGGGGAGGCAGGGATGGTTTTTGCTTCCAGCTTACTGACATCATTGTTGCCAGTTTTCAGTCGCTTGTCCTATGGTACACTCCATAGGGCTTCAATGCAACATCATAGATAGTTTCCCCCAGGGAAGCAATCTAAGGGAACTTGAGAAATAGTACTCATGAAAGAAACCACAGCACTTTCATAACCTTATCTTGGAAGTGATACCTCATTAATTTTGCTGTGTTCAATTTATTAGAAGTGAGTCCCCATATTTAGCCAACATATGAGGAAAGGGAATTACTTAAGGGCATTTATATCACTGCAGATGGTGACTGCAGCCATGAAATTAAAAGACACTTGCTCCTTGTAAGAAAAGTTATGACCAATCTAGGTAGCATATTAAAAAGCAGAGACATTATTTGTCAAAAAAGGTCCATCTAGCAGCAAATATCCTTTCTTCCTTTGCACTGAATCGTCTTCTTCCAGGATAGGTTTCCTCTTGAAAGACTGTCTGAAGGTTTTCTGAGCCATGCCTCTTTTATGACCCACTGGTACTATTTTTTCAACTTCCTTTGTTAAAACAATGTGCTTTGTAATAATACCATCATAATAATTCTGTGATTTACTTATTTATCTCTGTGTACAAAGACTCTTTTTTTTTTACAAGTGTCATCACCCTAATTTTCACAAGCCAAAAGTCCTTTGGTGGCTTATTGAATTATGAAAAGTTATAGTATACCTTGAACTTACAGTCTTTCACAACCAGGAAGTTGACTTCCTAGCCTATCTCGAAAAGTTTTGGGCAATAGGTTCTAATTTATTTTGCAACTTTTCTATATGTTTTTCATCAGAACAGTGTTCTATTTTATATGTAGCTTCCTGGGGCTTCCCTGGGGGCTCAGATGGTAAAGAAAATGTGTATGCAAAACAGGAGACTCAGGTTCAATCCCTGGGTCAGGAAGATCTCCTGGAGAAGGGAATGGCTCCAACTTCAGTATTCTTGCCTCGAAAATCCCATGGACAGAGGAGCCTGGCGGGCTACAGTCCACGGGGTTGCAAAGAGTCAGATATGACCAAGTGACTGACACTTTCACTTTCAGGAATATTGTAACATTTTTAAGGATTCTAAAAAATTATTACAGACCTTAGATTAGCTATGCCAACATGAATTTTGGAAGCACATGCATTGTCAGAAGCCTCTTCCAATGTATCAGAGAGAAGAGAGATGAGCTCCAGTTTGAACATTTTGGGGAATGGAATCTCCTTGTGAATCATTGTGAATCACCTGCCTATCCTTGCATCCATCAACTGAGAGGAATGGTGGAGTCCTATAAAAATGTGGGTCTCATGCTTTTCCCAGGTCAAATAACTTTGTTAAGAGGAATATGGTGCCTTTAGCAATTTGACAGATCCTGGTCAAAGCACATGATTAAGATCAGGGGATCATGTTTCACAGAAGGTGCTCTACTCATGAACTGTTATGTTGGTGAGGGCTGTTGAACTAAAAAATAATATTTGAAGTCAAGTATAGTGTAAACAAATGTATAGAACTGGGAAAAATCTTTGTTGAATAACAAACAGACACATACAGACTCACACATAAGTCAATTTTCAGTATCTTCATGTAGGTGCTGGAAAAGACTCTTGAGAGCCTATTGGACAGCAAGAGCCTGTTGGACAGACCAAACCAGTCAATCTAAATGAAATCAACCCTAAATATTCATTGAAAGGACTGGTGCTGAAGTTGAAGCTCCAGTACTTTGGCCATGTGATGCAATGAGCCAATCATTGAATTAGGCCCTGATGGTGGGAAAGATTGAGGTCAGGAGGAGAATGATTGAGAGAGAATGAGATGGTTGGAAGGCATCACCAATTCAATGGACATGGACTTGAGCAATCTCTGGGGGATACTGAAGGACAAGGAAGCCTGGCATGCTGTAGTCCATGGAGTCTCAAAGAGTTGAACATGACTTAATGACTGAACAACAACAATATTTAGCACTTTAAAGCATACAATTTTACCTATAGAAGAAAATTAGAATACTCCACACACGTACAGATGCACTAACCAAAAAAAATGAAATATCATACCAAAACTAAAAAAATTATTAACTCAGAAGTTATTTTTATAGATGCTTCACATTCACCTATCTATATGGCCTAATTGTATTTATGTATAGTATGAAATCTCATTAATTTAATATTGGTTGAAATTCTTATAAAATTACAGTTTAATTAAAGGTTTCTGTTATTTATATAGTTATTTGAAGCTTTATATAATAAATAAATTACTGTGATAGATGTTTCTAACTTTGCAATAAAACAATTGGTGACAACATGTATATCATGCTTATGATCTATTTCATAAGTGCCTATAGGGAAATGTGAGCATTGATGAAATAGATGTAAACATAAATAGATGTGTGGCCTAAATATTTCAGTGTCTTCTTATGAAATGATTGTTGTTTTATGACCATTATTATATCAAATAATTTTAATATAAAATATTTTTTCAGAGCACTATCAGCTGTATGTTCCTGAGTCAGCTCAAGTTGGTTCAGCTGTTGGGAAAATAAAGGCAAATGATGCAGACACTGGCTCAAATGCGGACATGACATACTCCATCATTAATGGTGACGGTGTTGGCATATTCTCCATTTCCACTGACAAAGAGACAAGAGAAGGGATCCTTTCCTTAAAAAAGGTAAAAAAAGTACTGTTAGTGAGCTAGGCAATTCACTCATTTTTCCATGAATGCAAATTTGGCAAGATATTAATAATGTATATTTTCAAGTCATTAAAATGACAAAGTATTTCCTCTTTAATATGTAATGACATTTTAATTATGATTATGTCTAACTGTTTAAATCATTTCTTAAGTGTTAGTTGCTGAGTTGTGTCTGACTCCACGACCCCATGGACTATAGCCCACCAGGCTTCTCCATCCATGTGATTCTCCAGTCAAGAATACTTGAGTGGGTTGCTATTTCCTCCTCCAAGGGATCTTCCTGCAGGCAGATTCTTTACTGTCTGACCACCGGGGAAGCCCTATGTTTTAGTATGGTGGGAAGGTCAGATGTAGAATACACTATGAATGTATTCCTTTGTTTTTGCTTTCCGATAACATAGTTACCGTGAATTCCAGTTCTATTAATATCATTATTTTATGTTATGCTAATCAAAGTAGCATTATAAGACTTTCCTGCTTGATGGTCATGGACCTTTTAGTGAAGTCATTTACGTTCTCATTACCCTCATTCTGTTTTATTCCTAAGAATTTGTCACCAGATTAAATCTATTGCCTTTTGCTTTTAAGAGAACACTATACTCGTGCCTTTGTAAGAATGCAGTAGAACATACGCAGTTAGCAAAGGAGACTTTAAATGTAACTTCTAAAGCAGTATGTCTCAGTGTTTAAATGTTTAACAATTTCAGCTTGAAAATCTAGTAACACGTAAGTCCCTAGGCCTTACCTTCATTATATTTTGATTCAGAAAGGCTGAGAGTGAGGAATTAGTCTTTTTAACAAGTACTCTGGATGATTCTACTGTATAGTATATTGAGAACAAAGGCTGAAAAATTATATTCTGATGGCTCAAATGGTAAAGAATCTGCAGTGTGGGAAACCTGGGTTCTATCCCTGAATTGGGAAGATCCCCTGGAAGAGGGCATGGCAACCCATTCCAGTATTCTTGCCTGGAGAAGCCCCATGGACAAGGGAGCCGGGCAGGCCATAGTCCATGGGGTCACAAAGAGTCAGACATGGCTGAGCAACTGAGCATACACACAGTAACAGTGAAGTGAATCAATAAGTCTGTCTGTCTATCAATCATCTATTTATCTATTTGAATCTAGTTGTCATTTATTATATTATCTATCTATCTAGTTATCTGTGTGTATTTGTATATATATTTATCTTTGCACTATATAAGATCTCATTTATTCTTCTAATAATCATAATTTTATGCTGATTTAAAATTGAAGATTAATATGTCTTTTGTATGTCACAAAAGGGGCCTGAGAAGCAGAGCTTAAAGTGTGCAAATACTTAGAAATAGTCATCACTGGTCTATATATAATATTGATTCTTCACCTAAATATCTTCTCATTTTAATCTTTTTGAACTTGTCAAACTTGTATTAAAAAATGTTGATAAAAAGAGTCAATTCCCATATCTTTATTTTAAAAAATATTGAGTCTTAAGTGTCTCTTATGTGCCAATAATTGTGTTCTACATGAGCCAGGAAAGCCTGAGCAGAGCAAAAGTCAGTCTCAGCCTACATAGAGCTTCCCACCTATGGAAGTGGAGAGATACCGATCAAATATCACATGCATTCTTAGATGGATAATAAAAAGTGATCTATGACAGAGAGTAAAACAGTGCTATTGGGAAGGCAAAATCTAGGGTGTTTAATCCTGTCTGATTAGTTAGCAGTGGTTGAACAGAGAACTAAAACATACTTAGGAGGTAATTAGGTGAGAGAATTAAAGGACGGGGAAAGAAAACATAACGAGAACCTGAGTGGGGTGGAATGTGGCACAGTGAGGACCTAAAGAGCATCCTTGATTCTGGAGCAGAGAGAGTGAAGAAGCTAGTGCATATGAAAGCACACAGAATTTTGTTAAATTTTACCCAATGGAGAACTATTGGGTAACACTGAAGCTGTCTAAGCAGGAAGTGACAAGGTCTCATTTGATGTCTCTATTTCTAATAAATTTTTAATATAAGATACAAGAGAATGAGGTTGTTTTTTAATTTGTTGCTGCATTCCCAATGTCTAGGATGTTTTCTGACATTGAATAGGCATTCAATAAGCACTAGCATAATGAATGAATATATTGAATTCACCAGAAAAAGTTTGTTTGGGGCTTTCTGTGAAATGTTAAGAAAAACTCAAATGGACTTTTTGGCCAACACAATACTATAGACTGAAAAATGAAACAAGGAGTGTCTGCTTTTCATTCCTTAGATGGCTTCTCCACTCAAATAAGTCCAGGTAAGTGGATGAATAATTCTTTCTGAAAGATGAATCTGAAACCCTAGGGAACACTCGCATTTAAGAAACAAGCAGAAGGCAGGAAAGAAATAGAGTCTTTGAAGAAAATATCAAAATACAGAAGAGAATTTTATCAGTGAAAATTCCCAAAGTAGGCTGAATAGTATAGTCATTAGAATATAGTCATAGACTTTTATTTTTTTTTCTTCATTAATTTATTTATTTATTTTCACAACCATAGTGTATCTTTTTTTTTTTTTTTTACATGTATTCCCCATCCCGGTCCCCCCTCCCACCTCCCTCTCCACCCAATCCCTCTGGGTCTTCCCAGTGCACCAGGCCCGAGCACTTGTCTCATGCACCCAACCTGGGCTGGTGAACTGTTTCACCCTAGATAATATACGTGTTTCAATGCTGTTCTCTTGAAACATCCCACCCTCGCCTTCTCCCAGAGTTCACAAGTCTGTTCTATACATAGGAGTCTCTTTTTCTGTTTTGCACTTAGAGTTATCGTTACCATCTTTCTAAATTCCATATATATGTGTTAGTATACTGTAATGGTCTTTATCTTTCTGGCTTACTTCGCTCTGTATAATGGGCTCCAGTTTCATCCATCTCATTAGAACTGATTCAAATGAATTCTTTTTAATGGCTGAGTAATATTCCATGGTGTATATGTACCACAGCTTCCTCATCCATTCATCTGCTGATGGGCATCTAGGTTGCTTCCATGTCCTGGCTATTATAAACAGTGCTGCGATGAACATTGGGGTACATGTGTCTCTTTCAGATCTGGTTTCCTCGGTGTGTATGCCCAGAAGTGGGATTGCTGGGTCATATGGCAGTTCTATTTCCAGCTTTTTAAGAAATCTCCACACTGTTTTCCATAGTGGCTGTACTAATTTGCATTCCCACCAACAGTGTAAGAGGGTTCCCTTTTCTCCACACCCTCTCCAGCATTTATTGCTTGTAGACTTTTGGATAGCAGCCATCCTGACTGGCGTGTAATGGTACCTCATTGTGGTTTTGATTTGCATTTCTCTGATAATGAGTGATGTTGAGCATCTTTTCATGTGTTTGTTAGCCATCTGTATGTCTTCCTTGGAGAAATGTCTGTTCAGTTCTTTGGCCCATTTTTTGATTGGGTCATTTCTTTTTCTGGAGTTGAGCTGGAGGAGTTGCTTGTATATTTTTGAGATTAATCCTTTGTCTGTTGCTTCGTTTGCTATTATTTTCTCCCAATCTGAGGGCTGTCTTTTCACCTTGCTTATAGTTTCCTTTGTTGTGCAAAAGCTTTTAAGTTTCATTAGGTCCCATTTGTTTATTTTTGCTTTTATTTCTAAAATTCTGGGATGTGGGTCATAGAGGATCCTGCTGTGATTTATGTCAGAGAGTGTTTTGCCTATGTTCTCCTCTAGGAGTTTTATAGTTTCTGGTCTTACATTTAGATCTTTAATCCATCTTGAGTTTATTTTTGTGTATGGTGTTAGAAAGTGTTCTAGTTTCATTCTTTTACAGGTGGTTGACCAGTTTTCCCAGCACCACTTGTTAAAGAGGTTGTCTTTTTTCCATTGTATATCCTTGCCTCCTTTGTCAAAGATAAGGTGACCATAGGTTCGTGGATTTATCTCTGGGCTTTCTATTCTGTTCCATTGATCTATATTTCTGTCTTTGTGCCAGTACCATACTGTCTTGATGACTGTGGCTTTGTAGTATAGTCTGAAGTCAGGCAGATTGATTCCTCCAGTTCCATTCTTCTTTCTCAGGATTACTTTGGCTATTCGAGGTTTTTTGTATTTCCATACAAATTGTGAAATTATTCGTTCTAGTTCTAAACAACACGCTTCTGAATAACCAACAAATCATAGAAGAAATCAAAAAAGAAATAAAAATATGCATAGAAATGAATGAAAATGAAAACACAACAACCCAAAACCTATGGGACACTGTAAAGGCAGTGCTAAGGGGAAGATTCATAGCATTACAGGCCTACCTCAAGAAACAAGAAAAAAGTCAAATAAATAACCTAACTCTACACCTAAAGCAACTAGAGGAGGAAGAAATGAAGAACCCCAGGGTTAGTAGAAGGAAAGAAATCTTAAAAATCAGGGCAGAAATAAATGCAAAAGAAACTAAAGAGATCATAGTAAAAATTAACAAAGCTAAAAGCTGGTTTTTTGAAAAAATAAACAAAATTGACAAACCATTAGCAAGACTCATTAAGAAACAAAGGGAGAAGAACCAAATTAACAAAATTAGAAATGAAAATGGAGAGATCACAACAGACAACACTGAAATCCAAAGGATCATGAGACTACTACCAGCAGCTCTATGCAAATAAAATGGACAACTTGGAAGAAATGGACAAGTTCTTAGAGAAGTATAACTTTCCAAAACTGAACCAGGAAGAAATAGAAGATCTTAACAAACCCATCACAAGCAAGGAAATCGAAACTGTAATCAGAAATCTTCCAGCAAACAAAAGCCCAGGACCAGATGGCTTCACAGCTGAATTCTACCAAAAATTTAGAGAAGAGCTAACACCTATCTTACTCAAACTCTTCCAGAAAATTGCAGAAGAAGGTAAACTTCCAAACTCATTCTATGAGGCCACCATCACCCTAATTCCAAAACCAGACAAAGATGCCACAAAAAAAGAAAACTACAGGCCAATATCACTGATGAACATAGATGCAAAAATCCTTAA